ATGTACAGTAAATTGCAGCTGAAATGGATTTAGTGGAGTTAAAAGTACAATGTTTCCCTCTGAAATCAGGTTAGACAGTAGATAGTTTCAATCATTTTAGAATCAGCCAGTCAAGTCTATGGGTAGGAACTGGTTGGCATATGCCACTCAAAACTCTGCCTGTCAGAACTTTGTTGTAGAAGTCCATCCTTTGAATCAAATGACTATGATAGTGTCACCTGTACTTCCACTGAGAATCACAGCAAACAAGCTCAAACAAGCTAATTGTGTACCTGCCAGGGTTGAAAGTGACTGAGTGGCTGGTGAAGCAGCTGAAACACAGATGTTTTCCTCAGTAGTTGGTGATTCAAACACGAGCAAACAAGACCAAAGAAGCAAAAAGAACAAAACAAAAGTCAGTGTTGGACATTAGTCAGGCGGCCACAGACATGCTGCTCATAAAATTCTGTATGTGCTAAGGCAACTCTTCTCTGAGGGTTCAGATTTTATTTAATGCAGCTTTAATTTGACTTAAAAACAGACCATTAAATAGGAAAGTGTGTTATGGCTTTGCAAACAAAACACAGTCATCAAATCACAGTGGAATATTTCAGATATACACAATGCTGAATATTAATTTATTGAAATACATGAAGGTAGTTTAAAGATTTACTGTCAGTCATGTATTTTCCATGTTGGCTTTTCCACTATTTATTCAAGTTATTGTTTTTTCTTTGTCAAAGAATACAGATGATTTTTATTTGTCGGCTCTAAATTGATTTAGTCACGGCTGCCTTTTTTTGATAAAGCAGCGGAATAATGAAAGGCCACCACCTCGTGTTAATATTTGTTGTAAATGCTTTTGTTCTAATGGCCTCTGCTGAGCAGCTTAACTAAAGAGTGAGCATGTTTGTAATTAGAGATGGTGGTGATGCTATCATTTAAAATTTAAATCACATTATTCCAATACATCTCCTTCTAAGCCACACAACATTTGATTTCATTTTAACAAACCATAACAGAGGCTCCAGTCAGATCCAGTCACATTCTGACCTTATTTGACTGAATTGTTTTAATCCAAAAATGTTCATAGCTCAGGCTAATTTCAGCTCCCTTGAGTTTTTAATTTAGTGTGTCTGAAACATTGTTTCATGTTGTTAAATAAACAATTTGCTTTTGAATGCTGTCCAAACATTGTAATGAAGTTTCAGTAAACCCCCTGCAGCTTTTCCAGTAAACCAACATCATCCCATAACTCATGCCATCCTCAACCCACACAACACTGCATCTGTAACTGTGTTGGCTCAAGTTACACTGGAATGAGTTCACATTACACCACACAACTATAATCTCATGCATTAGCAGTGATTCACACTCTTTGTGAGACTCTCAACACCTTAAAAGATACCCGCAACAAGAAGAACACCTGTTTCTCTCCGTTTCACCGTCATTACACTTTTTCCTCCCCCGAGGGAATAGATTGATGTAAAATGTTAGCTATTCAGGGGAGGGGTGTACCCAGAGCTGAATGCAATGAACTCCTAGTTAAAAATGTTGTAAAGATTATATCTGCCGCGTGGATCTGCAATCCGCGCGTGCAGAGTCGAAAGCACCAGGTTTACATAGAGGTTTAAGAAGAGGTGAGCAGACCTACGGTAAGCTTGAGTTTTATATCACAACTGACATGAGCCATAGGAAGGTGCCTTGTCCACACTCAGCACCTCTTTTGATCAACGTCTGCAACACCAGTTCCATCTTGCAGGATCTGGCAGCAAAAACCACAAAAAAACGGAAACAAAAATGCAACGGCGCCCGTCAGCTGGAAGTTTCAAGACCCAGCTTTTTACAGTTTTAGTATCCACTGCAGTTGTGTCAGCACAACCAGCCGAAGATAAATGAATCGAGAAAATGAAAACATTTATCAGATTTTTTTTCTTTCATAGTGTAAGGTTTTATGTTTAGTAATGATCCATCTGGTTTCTATGTAACTCTTACAAAACCAACACATTTCACTAATAAATCAAAACCAATTATGAGGAAAATTGCTTTACAGTTTTAGGACAGTGTTGTTTTGCTTCTGTGATTCAGCACTTTGTATTTACATTCAATTGGGTTTAAGGGCACTTTCACACCGACCCCAGACCTTCTGACTTTTCAGTTTAGTGCCTCAGACCATGGTCTAGACCAGCAGACCAAAGGAGGTGGTCTCAGTTCAGATCAAACTCTCTGTACAAACCAATCTATAGGTAGCCAATGCAAGTAGGTATGAGGGGACATATATGTCAAACTAAATTCTTTAAATTCACAACATAAATGTGAAACCAAACAAAGACATCAACTTTGGTTGTGACTGTCAGGCCTGAAACCTCCTTAGACTTTGAGGTCCAATCACTGACTTTAATTTTTAACTGAGGGTGTTCACATTTTACATCTGATAAATCATGTAGGAATTGGCTGAGTTCTCAATTTCTTTCTTCACTGATCATCTAATATTAATGTGAACATCCACAAACACCCTCAGAGTAAAAGGGCAACACTTTACCTCAGAGAAAGGGTTTATTTCAAATTCAACAGACTGGAGTAAAGTCAAAACAATGAAAATGCATCACTAATTCTTACAGACTGCAAAAATACATTTCATACATATTTTTTAGGGACACTCGTGAAGCTGACACTGATTCCTGTTTCAGTTCCCTTCTGCTCTTGTCATTTACTAATTCCTGTCTTCGTCTCATCTGCAGTCTTTCCTCACACCAGACGGACAACAGAGTTATTTAAGGGGAACTGAGCTGCAGTGGGTGCCTTTGGAAACTTTAGGGAAACAGAAGTAAACTAAACTATCATTATTATTATCCATGGCATGTTTTATGAATTTACTTAGTTCATGATGACTGCACTAATTGCAAAGGTCAAAGTGATACTTTCTATCAGTATTTTCTCCCATTGTCAGATCAAACCCAATCATTTTATCATCCCTCTTAATCCCCTTCTGTAACATGCCCTGTTAATTGGCTACAAAGTAACGTCTGAATAGACCGGGCACGGGTTAATTGGCCTCAGTTCCTGGTCCTCTGAGCTCTAGAGGCAGGGCGCCCATCTGCCTAGCTGATGTTTAATTCAGGGGCCCAGATGGAGGCGTAACAGCCTGGCTGTGAGATCCCTTCCCCACACTTTCACCAGACGTGGCTGTGGCTCAGGATGGCCCCGAGGGGATGGGGGGGGGGGGTCTGGATGCTGGCCCCTCCTGCTCACCAAAGTCAATGTAATCGGGGGGGACAGTGATGTTACTTCAGTCAAGTGCTGTTACCTTGAATTGGAGGGAAGATGCTTTGTAAGGGCCTAATCCAAACAAATACAGCCAAAGAACTGGCATGATCAGGAAAAAAATTATAATCCATCCATCATCAGTGCAGCCTTTGAGCAGAGCTGGAGCCAAGCCCCAACTAACATTGTGCGAATCACAGGACCAACATTCAGATACAAACAACCATTTACACTCACATTCACACCTACGGTCAATTTAAAGTCAACTTAACCCCAATCTGTATGTCTTTGGAGAGTGGGAGGAAGCCAGAGTACTCAGAGAAAACTCACGCAGACACGAGGAGA